GATCCCCCTCCCTGTCTTACTGGTTCCGACGATCAGCTGTTCCAGGATCCCCCTCCCTGTCTTACTGCTTTGCCCAGGAGGCTTCCCTGAGGCCCAGGAGGCAAAAAGGGGAGGTAGGGGATTGGGAGCTAAAACAGCCTGGAATCCCGAAAGACATTTTGCAAGTTTTAAGAATTTGGATTTTGGGTGCAAAAAAAAAAAAAAGTGTTTCTCCTTCTCTAGATGTGCTTAAACAGATCGTGCGTGGATGTGGCGGTGCTGGATTTCGACTGCGATCCGTCCATGTGTAGACACCGAGGAGTAAGTGGCAGACTGGAGTATCATCCATATCCAAGGGTCTCCTCCTCCTCCTCCACCCCTCCCCCCCCAAAAATCCCCTGACAATGGCGGCCACAAGAGCGTGTGGATCAAAGGGTGGAGGAGATTGTGTGATTGTGTGGCTGCCGTCACTAATTTCTGGGACCTTCTGCAGCCTATCTCAGAGGTTCCTCTGGTCGAGCGTCCCCTCGGGCGCATAGCTGGCTGCGGGATTCTGGGAGTTGGAGTCCACAAGTCTTAAAAGTTGCCAAGGACACAGACTTTTAGATGATATTCCTAGCTTGTCTCCATCCCGCATCCATCTTTAAGCAGGGCAGTTTCAGCCCAGCCTCACACCGCCCTCACTCCAAACCAAAGTCTTAGCAACTGCCTTCCTTTCTCATGTAAACAACAATTGTGTCTCACACAAGCCTGAACCAGCAGACATATTCTGGCAAAGGGTGGAAAATGTGACCGCAAAGCTTTTCCTTCTGGGTCTGTCCAGGCGACCGTTGGACGCCCGCCAATCCTGGCCGTCTCCTTGTTCCATTTTCAGGTCTGCAACAGCAACCGGAATTGCCATTGCTCTTATGGATGGGCCCCTCCCTTGTGCACCGAACCAGGGTTTGGAGGGAGCATCGACAGTGGGCCCCCACCACCCTATCAGTGTAAGCAGTGTCTCTTTCTTTGTCCCCCATCCCATTCAAATCGGTTGGGTTTCATGCCTAAGGCAGGATTAGAACTCACCGTCTCCTGGGGATTGGCTGAAGATCACCCAGCCGGCTTTCATGGCTAAGGCGGGACTAGAACTCACCGTCTCCTGGTGATTGGCCCACAGTCACCCAGCCGGCTTTCAATACTAAGGCTGGACTAGAACTCACCGTCTCCTGCTGATTGGCCCACAGTCACCCAGTTAGCTTTCATGCCTAAGGTGGGACTAGAACTCCCCGTCTCCTGGTGATTGGCCCAAAGTCACCCAGCTCGCTTTCATGTTTAAGGTGGGACTAGAACTCCCAGTCTCCTGGTGATTGGCCCAAAGTCACCCAGTCGGCTTTCATGCCTAAGGCAGGACTAGAACTCCCCGTCTCCTGGTGATTGGCCCAAAGTCACGCAATCGGCTTTCATGCCTAAGGCAGGACTAGAACTCACCGTCTCCTGGTGATTGGCCCAAAGTCACCCAATCGGGTTTCATGCCTAAGGCAGGACTAGAACTCCCCGTCTCCTGGTGATTGGCCCAAAGTCACCCAATCGGCTTTCATGCCTAAGGCTGGACTAGAACTCACCGTCTCCTGGTGATTGGCTGAAGATCACCCAGCCGGCTTTCATTCCTAAGGCAGGACTAGAACTCACCGTCTCCTGGTGATTGGCCCAAAGTCACCCAATCAGCTTTCATTCCTAAGGCAGGACTTGAACTCCCCATCTCCTGGTGATTGGCCCAAAGTCCCCCAACTGACTTTCATGCCTAAGGCGGGACTAGAACTCCCCATCTCCTGGTGTCATCCCAGATGTTTTTAAGACAGTCACTTATCTAAAATGGTATCCTTCTTGAGCCTGGGGTTGGTCTAGAAGACCTCCAAGGTCCCTTCCAGCTCCATTCCATTCTGATTCCATGGGCAGGGTCTCAGCAGGGGCTGCCCAGTTTGCTTTCCCGCACTCTGAAGACTTCCCCAACCGTTGGCTGCCCCAAACCACGGTTTTGAACAAATAACCCGGGATGGTCTGTCTGCCACAAGCCCTGTTCAGGGTCCTTTTCTCTCTCATTCCCCAGTGCCCACCATCGTCATTGTAGGTCTCTTCACCCTGACCGGTCTGGTCGTCTTGGCAGGGGGAGTTTTCATCGCACGTCACGTGGACGCCTTGTGAGTAAAGTGCAGGGATAGAGGAGGAGGAGGTGGTGGCTGGAGGGGGCCGCGTTCGAATCCCAGGCGTGCAAGTTGTGAGTGAGTCCGGCTAGTAAACCTCCCTGCAGGCCCCTGGGAGCCAAAACGGGGTGCGTCGGGACTCCTGGAAGGGGAGGGGCCAGCCAGAGGTGGTATTTGCCGGGTTCTCCGAACCAGTCAAAATGTCTGCTACCGGTGTGCCAGAACCACTTCGAACCAGCTGAATACAAAACCTCCAGTCCCTTCACATCTCGCCTGCTTGGAATCCACCAAAGCTTCACACCGTCTCTTTCCTTTCCAGCTTTAAGTGGATTGCGGCAATTCCCAAACGACGCCCCCAAAAATCGGCCAGTAAAGTAAGTGTCTAAACTAAAATAATACTCCTTTGCTCTTTTTAGTTGCCAGCAGAAAAGGGAGTGAGGAAAGCAGTGCATTCCTTAAATGCTGCAGATAACTGCTAGGCAGACGAAGCTGTTGGTGCGCAAGATTATTACTGGAGAGCATGATTGGTGACTCTTGGCTAGGGATGTGTCCCATTGGAGAATATACATCCAGGAGTGGGGGGAAGACCAGGGTCATGGGGGCTAATGAATGACGTATTTTAGTGTCAGCTGGCTGTCCAACCAATCCACCCCTTTCAAATCATAAATCTCTAGCGGCATCTCTCAAGAGTGAAAAAAAAATTGATTTATTAAGAGCGGCCATGTTGGCATTAGCTGGGTGCGAACGTCTTATTGTGGAGGAGGGGGCTCACCGCCTAATTCACACACGCACACAAAACACACCCGTTGCCCAGCCTTTCTGAAGGCAAACGCTGGAGAACTCTTGTGCAGGCAGTTCTTGAATTACAGCAGTTCGTTTAGTGACCGTTATATCAGCACTGGAACAAAAGGGGGACACCATTGTTTTTCACGCTTACGCCTGTTGCGGCCTCCCCGTGGTTGGTCGCGTGATCAAAGTTCAGAAGCTCGGCAACGGAGTCGTATTTGCGACGGTCGCGGCATACCCAGGGGGGTCAACGTGCGTGCTCCCCCTTTGGCGACCGCCTGACGAGCGGAGTCAGTGGGGACATCCAGATTCACTTAACGACCATGTTGCTCATTTAACAACTGCAGCGATTCACTCAACGATTGTGCCAAGAACAGTTGTAAAATGGAGCGAAACTCGCTTAACCGGCGTCTCCCAGAAATGCTGGGCTCCCTTGTGGTCACAAGGAAGATTTCCTGTACATTCTCACAAGATAGTCCTTCACTTATAATAGCCACAATTGAGGCTCCTGCCACCATCCCAGAAATAATACTTATTTACTTATGCTGCCTCCCGCATATCATAGATGGACTTGCAATATATATTAGCATTTCATCTCAATTAAAAAGGCGGTAGAAATGCTGGCTCAGGAATTCTGGGAGTGGAAGTCCACAGGGCCGTAAAAGGGGCTGTCAACTCATAAATTATTTCCATGGTCATTTTAGAGTCGCCAGCCGAAAGGGAGGGGGGGAAACGGGTTTGAAAGGGCAGTGCACCAGCTCGAAAACCGAAACTGCATTCCATAAATGTTTTCAAAGATAGTTGCTAGGTGACTGAAGTTTCTGCTGTGCAAATATCTAACTGGGAGCATGATTGATGAGTCTTGACTATGGAGGTGTCCCATTGGAGAATATGAATTATGATACACCCAGAGATGGGGGGAAACCAGGGTCAAGGGTGACGATGAAAGTTTGGCTCGAGACTCAGGATTTAATTGGGGTAACTGCCGGAATCCTGACAGGGGCCATATTTGGCCCAAGAATTCTGGGAGTGGAAGTCCACGGGTCATAAAGGGGCCATATTTGGTTCAGGAATTCTGGGAGT